CAATTTGCAGTGGGTGTTGATTCTCGAGGCGAAAAGGTCGATTTCGGCCTCGCCAAACACCTTCCATATCAGACTGACCGTCTGTGGGTTCAGGGACCACTCGCCGAGGGGAGTGTTGCCCCGTGAAAGCATATCCGCGCCCACATTCTGGACGCCCGGGATATGCGCTGCTCTCAGAGAGCTCAGGTTGGTTTGTGCCCATATAGAGGAGGTCTCTCGCCATCGCATGCAGGTTCCCTGACCTGATGCCCCCCTGGCGATTCATGTAGGCCACCACTGACCTATTGTCTGTGCGGACTAAGACGTGGTGACCTCTGAGGTTCGACAGAAATGCCTTCAGGGCCAACCCAACTGCTTTCATCTCCAGACAGTTGATATGTAAGCTCTGCTCCGTGCTCGACCAGAGGCCGGATGCAGGCATGCCCTCGTGCAGCGCTCCCCAACCCAGGTTGGATGCATCTGTAAGAACCACTTTCCTCCTGGAAATTGTTCCCATTGTCACCCCCACGTGGTGCCAGTTCTGAGCCCGCCAGAGAATCAGGGTTCTTAAACAACCGTGATTCACCATATGCATATGAACCATTGCATGCGCGTGTAAGCTGCCTGACTGCCATGCATGAGTTGGCACATGGCGTGTCAGCCAATGCTGCATCGGGCGCATGCGTAGTAATCCCATGCGGAGTACTGGCGATGCTGCTGCCATGAGACCAAGCAGTTTCTGAAATTTCTTCAGTGGCGCGCGCTCGCGCAATCTGAAAGTGCCTGCAAGCACTTGCACCGAGAGCGCGCGCTCTGGTGTGAGTCGCGCTGTCATAGCTCTCGAGTCTAAAACTGTGCCCAGAAAGATCACGCTCTGGCTGGGGGTTAGTTTGCTTTTTGAAACATTGATTGTGAAACCCAGGCATTTTAGATGGCCGAGAATCAAATCCCTGTGAGCTAATAGCTCGATTCTCGACTGTGCCAGCACCAGCCAGTCGCCGAGATAATTTAACACGCGCACTCCCTGATGTCTCAGAGGAGAAAGCGCTGCATCCACACACTTCGTGAATGTACGGGGTACCAACGATAGACCGAACGGCAGAACGGTGTATTGATAATCCCGGCCCTCGAAGGCGAATCTCAAGAATGGCCTGTGACGAGGATTTATTTGAATGTGAAAGTAAGCATCTTTCAGATCCATTGTGACAAACCAATCCCCCTGGGCGCACTTGCGCGAGGATATGTTTGATCGTTAACATTTTGAACGGCCGTCTCATGAGAGCTTTGTTCAAATGTCTTAAATCTAGAATGGGTCTGAGACCGCCGTCTTTTTTTCGGAATCAGAAAATAGCGGCTGTAAAAACCCATATTTTTTAGCGCGGGGGGGACTAATTCTATCGCCCCTTTTGCTAATAGATTCTGTACTTCGGTGCGAAGCACGTGACCCACGTTGCTTCTCACCGAAGTCTCGAGAACCGCCTGAAATTTCGGGGGTCTGCGAGCGAATTGGAGCGAGTAACCTCGCTTTATAGTGTTTATGACCCAACTCGACACATCGGGGATAGCTTGCCAGGCTAGAACCCGTGTGGCTAGGGCTTGACACACAGATTGGGGCTGGTCGCCTAATGTAGGGGGACCTGATACCCTTATATTGTGATTTGTGCACACATTGAGTATTGGACTGACTGTACAAGCATTTGATATATGTGCTTGTTAATAAAGTTGTGATTGATCCTTGTAAACTGATGTGTGTCTGTATTTCTCCTTTGTCATGAAATAGGCTATTCAACAGGTCTTGATTAAATGCAATAAAAGATTAGCTAACATATAATAATTGATATAGTTTAGGATTGTTTTTGTTAAATACATCATCCTACTTTGTCATGTCCAGTCAACTATGTTACTTTTGTCAACTATGATACTGGGCTGTCAATTAAGTTACCATTATGTTTTTTAAAAAATATATGTATTTCAATGGTTCCGTAATCTCCAAGTAAATATTTAGAAACTGAGTAGCTGTCAAATATATACCTCAGCATAATTTCATCAAGAAAATTATCATGAATCAAGCAGTTTGGAAACAAAATATACAGACCGGTTACTTCAGTACTTGAATTTTGGGGTTTCAATTGAACAAAATGTGTATTTTCTTAATTAATTGGGTATTTTAATTGAAAAGGTAGGTAAATAGACACATATTCTTCCAAGAGTAATGATTTTTTAAAATGTCTGCCATTTACTTAAAGTTAAAACTTATAGGTTTTGTCCGTAACATAGTTGACCAAATAATGAGTAACTTCTTGTTTTTAAAACTAAATATCTGAAATCAATTATGCCTGAGCTTGGCAATGACTAAAAACAAAATATTTCAGGGATGATTTATCAGGGAAGATAATAATATTTTGTAAATAAATATATTTTTTCCCAGAATTATTCAAACTCAAAATCTCCCACAATTATATATTGACCCAGGTACAACTTGCAAACAGCACCTGTGGCTGTCGGTTTAATTCCCACTGGGGCTACCTGTACATGTAGTAGACCTAGATATAAAGTAAAATTTAAGATTGTATACTGCATATATTACAGTCTGAATCCTTAGCCTTTCACATTTTTTATTTATTTATGAGAAGCTTCAGAGAAATGTAATTTGTAACACTTTTTTGGATTTTCAGCTTGGTGTTGGGGATAAAGCATGTTTTAGAGACATGTTCCTGAAGACCATTGTTCAAAGTAAGTTGGATATTTTTTTTAGATTTAAGTAGATGTGTATGTCCTATTGTCCTCATGCAATTCAAATTAAACAACAGATCTGTATTTTCTATATTAGCCATCCGGAAGGACCCGGCAACCCAGGATGCACTGATGAGGCGGTCCAGGTTAACGTTACGCGTTACGCGTATCTGACCGTGAAGGCAGAAAAAGGCGCCGCACAGCTGAGAGGGACCCACAGCTGACCACTTAAAACTATACTGACTACTGACACCCCAGAATCACTGACAACTGGAATCCTTTCTTTATCTTGCAGTCAGTAGAATCAAGACCCCTAAAGAAGTCAGAAGTGTCAGACTACACTCACTCACTGTGGAAATTACTTTCTTTTTTTCTTTTTCAAATAAAGCTTGTAAATCCTTGTGCCACAGGTCAGCATTGCCGTTATAATGGCCTATTCTACTCCAGAGCTTTACTATAAATTACTACCACTTATCATATTGTTAGAAATGGCTTGTAAATGTAGTTATACTTTTATTTATTTGGTATCTTGCACATTATTTGGTATCAAATATCCTCTTTACTTGTCATAATGTTTACTGGTAATTTTTTACCCTAGAGCTGTCCTTTTTATATGAACACTTATTGTAAGTGTTGTAATTTGCTTGTAAGGCTGTTTAACCAAAATTGAATTGGAAACCTGCATGTTAGTATATTGTTTTATTTATTTTTCTGTTATGTTTCAGTGATCTGAAACATCTTGTTTAAATGACAGTTACTGTACTTTGAAATGTGGAATAAAAATGCCAATTGTAAATTTGTCTGGTTTGAGCAATCATTATTCTTGATAAACTGCATGCTATAAATAAAAAATATATATATATATATAATATATATAGCCAGAATAAGCGACGGCAGAGCGCTCGAAAATAGCGTTTGCCTCCGGCGGGCCGCGGAAGGACGGCCTTCAATATAAAGGCGGCGGAACGGCGGCCGCTTAACGAAGGCGGTAGGAAGGCGGCTGCCACTTTTAAAAAGCGGCTGCCGCCGGCGGTGCGCCGTCCAACGTGTTTGCGATGTCGCCATTCTGACGCTTCTACTGCCGCCGGAGAACCGACGGTGGTCCGCCGACTCATTGCTATCTGGGAGAATACCCATTCAGTCCCAGAGGGAGTAGCGCTTCTCTTAGTCCAGAGAAGGCCTAACGTGTTACGGTCCCTTTTTAGGATGATTGTGTATTTTTTTTATTAGAAAAACTGCTGTGCTGTATCCAGTGCACTGTAATGTTGGCTAATGAAATGATATTGATATGAGTTATATTCCATTTTGTTTGCTAAAATTAATCAGTCAATTCGTCTTTTTCAACGAGTGATTAGTTTTTGAATAATAGGAGTCGGACTACGCTTTCGGCGCCATAGGTCTCTATACAGGTGACTCTTTCTGATTTGATTCACGAACATTTCAAAAGAGTCATTTATTTGTTAATCGAACTACACTGACCACCACTCTGTTGCTGCAGTACACCCGCGGAGACAACATGTATAATCTGAAATTAAAAATATGATTTATTTGGTTTTAACACTCCTGTGGGGAACTCCGAAACGGAAAAGCGTTATAGATACACAAGAGAAGCTGCAAAATAAGTGCAGCTTTTTAATTCATTGATTGGCACGTCTTGTGTTTTTGAATGTAACGTAATCTGCTTTTAGAGCAGCACTTTAGAGTGAAAGAAAAATATTAAAGCGAATATCTCTGTATAATGTTATTAAAATGGTAGTTCTCTTAACATTTTTACTGCAGTGGGGATGATAACGTTACTATGACTATACAAGCGAACATAAACTGAAGTTTCATCTGAACGCTCTGTTTGGAATTTGACACTATCACTTTTTACATTTATTTTGGTAACACTACTACAATAAGGTTTCATTCGTTAATATAAATTAACTACATTAGTTAACATGGATTAAGAATGCACAATGCTTAAGCATTTATACATCTTAGTTCATTTTCATTTTGACATTTACTAATACATTATTAAATCAAAAATGAACAGTTGTATTTTTATTAACTAATGTTAACAAAGATGAATAAATACTGTAACAAATGTATTGGTCAATGTCAATGTTACTGTAGTTAACACATTAACTAGCCTAATTTTAACAAATGAGACCTTATTATAAAGTGTTACCAATATTTTAAACTGCTGCGTGAACTCTGGCAACAACATTTGTCAAACCTATGTGCTTAAAACACTAATGCTTAAGATTTAATATTGACCTCACTATATGTATTCCTTTATTTAAAAGATGCAGTTCAGAGAAACCCTCATGGCTAATTATGCTGAAATGGAGATCGAGGGATCCATGAACTGGCAGCAGACCGAGGGGCAGACACAAGATAAGTTTAAATCTATATTACAAACACAACTCTTTAACCTAGCATTAACATAACACACTCCCACATTTCTATAATTCACATCCGTTAAAGGTAGCTTACACCAAATGTACTTTTTACATCGTAAGAAGAATGGCATCTATGCTAATGTTAGTCTCTCTGTCTCATTTTGATCCCAAGGTTAGGCTACTGTAGTCATCCGGATCTAGTCTGCATCCAGACCAGACGGTGGACCTGCACCCTAAGATGACCACAGCAGCCTGAATGCCAGACGAGAACATGACAACTAGACAAGACCTAGGAACAAACGCCTGTGAAGACCTCGTTGACACAACAATCCTCGGCACAGTCATCGGATCAGATCCACGAGAAACAGACCAGTCCACCACACAGACCCAACGGCCAGCTTCAACTCCCCTCTCACCGACGCCGGCGTGATCTTATGAAGGTAAAGGAGGAGCAAAACTGGAGAACATAGATGTGAATTTAAGAACTTGTACAATAAATATTTGTACTTGAAAACCTGTTGAATGTTGAGATTTTTACTCGCAGACAATAGTCACAAACCTGTATTCTGAATTTGAAGCTGCAGACAAGTAGTCACAATTGTGTAAAATGCCATTCACAGAAATGCAATGACAGACACAAACTTGTATTCGTTCATTCACATTCGCAGTACAACTTCAATTAGGCATTAGCAACTTTTCAAATCTGCCATTGCTATTTCAAATCTTCACGCATTGACTTTGCAACTATTTTCACAATATATTAGACACAGATTCTCCAAACACAATATATTCCGTTTTATCCTCATTTAAGTGCATAAAATTTTGGGCAAACCACTGCTTAATGTCCGTGATGCAGTCAACTAAGGTACCTTGTACATCACCAGGCTTCAATGGCAGATAGATTTGCAGATCATCTGCATAACAGTAAAACGATAGGTTGTGTTTGGCTATAATTGACCCTAGCGGTAGCATATATAATGAAAACAAAATAGGGCCAAGAATGGAGCCTTGCGGGACTCCACAGGAAAGAGAAGCACAAGAAGAAGACAAATCCCCCATCATCACAGAGAAAGTTCTATTTGATAAGTATGACATAAACCACTTAAGTGCAGTGCCATGAATGCCAACATACTGCTCCAGGCGTGACAGGAGGATTGTATGGTCTACCGTGTCAAAGGCTGCTGTGAGGTCCAGTAGCACTAAGGCAACAGGACACTTGTTATCTACAAAGAAAGCAATATCATTGTGTACCTTTAATAATGCAGACTCAGTGCTGTGATGAGACCTAAATCCAGACTGAAATTTTTCAAGGACAGAGTTATTTTCCAAAAAGGGTTTTAACTGTATGAAAACAACTTTTCCCAAAACTTTAGAAAGAAATGGAAGATGAGAAACAGGTCTAAAATTAGATAGCAGTGTAGAGTCAAGGTTCGGTTTTTTAAGAAGGGGCCTAACCACAGCATGTTTAAAGGCAGCTGGGACGGTTCCTAGACTAAGACAGCTATTCATGAAAACCACAAGCCCAGGCCCAACAACGTTAAAAAACAGTTTCAGCACTCTAGCAGGTATAATATCAAATGGACAATTTGTAGGCTACAATGATTTCACTATCTCGCCAAGGGAAGATAGAGAAACTAACTCAAACTCCTCAAATACAGCAGAATGAGCTGGAGCAACAAAAAATTCCTTATTAAAACCTTTCCTAGTACTCTGTCTAACAGAGTCAACCTTATCAACAAAAAAGTGAAGAAAACTTTCACAGGTGACAGTTGAGACATTAGCAAGAGCAGAAATTGGTGGGTTCACAAAATAATTAATTGTAGTAAACAGGACCCTGGGGCAGTGACTGCTGCTAGAAATTATATCAGAAAGATACTGAGATTTTGCCTCTTGTAGGGCCCTCTGGTAATCAGCAAGACCGGCCCGCAAAATGTCCAAAGAGACATGCAGTTTATCCTTTTTCCATTTCCTTTCAGCCTGCCTACAACATTGCCTAATGGTACGAGTATTATCATTAATCCAGGGATCCGTTGTTGGTTTAGCCGATTTATGCCGAAAAGGGGCGATAGTGTCCAGAATCCCGGAACAGGTAGAATGGAAGAAAGAAAGAATATTGTCTGGACAGATGGGAGAAACCATGCCATTCATGGGAGAAACCATGCCATTCATGGCAAAAAACTCAGAGTCTCTGAATGCAGCAGCGAATTCATCAGCTGTGGTTGAAGTGATGATGCGACGCTGGCACGATGGAGCCAAAGACTTTCTAGCTGGAGGGGGGGCTATATATTCAAACACAATGGGAAAATGATCTGAGATGGCAGTCTCAGAGATCTCTTTAACGTAAATTGAAAGCCCAAAAGAGATAATGAGATCCAAGGTATGCCCACGATAGTGTGTAGGTTTATCCACTGATTGAGTTAAATTAAAAGTTTCTAAAAGTCTTTTAAAATCAGTGGCTAATTGGTCGGACGGGCAACAAACATGAACATTGAAATCCCCACAAATCAAGAGTTTATCAAATTTTGGAAAGATGTCTGCCAAAAACTCAGAGAACTCATGAATGAAGTCCTTATTATATTTGGGTGGGCGATAAACAACGGCACATAGAACAGGGCTCACAAGGTCCATCACAAATAATTGCAGCTCAAAGCTGGAGTAAGCGCTTGTAGAAAGAAGCCGGCATTTAAATCTGTCATTAAAAACAGCAGAAAGGATATTGGACTTCCGGTAAGATGGCGGCGTGAGAAGTCGTAAAGTTTTCTGCTCCTCGCGTTTCTTATTATTTAACGACTTATTCAACATTTATTGGGTGACATAGTTTGAACTACTATTCGCGATCCTCAGTAGAATCATGCCGAGAAACAACACTAAAAAGACGGCCGATATTACTGAGGTTGCTGGCGATTTGCAGAGTGTGGACGAGGCCGCCTCGAGCCAGGATGATATCAGAGAACTCCTTGGCGGGATTAGATCTGAGGTAGCGGCGCTCAGAGTGGAGATCCTTGCAGAGCTTAAATCATCTATCTCTGCGGTGAAAACTTCATTACTAGAGCAAGAACAGAAACTGAAGGATGTGGAAGAATCCCTTACCGACGTGGATGGTCGCGTTACTGCCCTGGAATCTATGTGCTCAGTGCTGTCGAAAGATAATGAAAAACTGAGGGCCAAACTCGATGACTTGGAAAATCGATCCAGGAGGAACAATATTCGTGTGATCGGTATCCCCGAGGGCTCCGAGGGTTCTCATCCTTCTGCATTCATTGAAACGCTGTTACTCGAGGTATTCGGTGAACAGAGTTTCTCCAAAAAACCGGAGGTGGACAGGGCTCACCGCTCTCTAGCTCCCCCGCCGAAAGCTAATCAAGCCCCCAGGCCGTTCATCGTGCGAATGCATCACTACCAGATGAGGGAACTGATTCTTCGTTTGGCACGAGAAAGGGGACAGGTGTTATACAAAGGATCGCGAATACACTTCTACCCAGATGTCAGCGCCGATGTTGCAAAGCGGAGAGCGGCATTTAACCAGGTAAAGGCTGAGCTTAGAGGAGCGGGAATTGAATTCGGCCTCCTTTTCCCTGCGCGTCTACGGATCAGCATTGATGGAACGAAACAATTTTTTGATTCTCCGCAGCGGGCTTTGGAATTTGTGAGGGGGATTGTCCCCCCTTCAACGAGTGAGTAGGAATTCACATCACTGCAGATAATGTAGATCAACGTGACTCCACCTTGGTTCCCGCTGAGCGCAGGTTCTGTATGGCTCGAGTGGGTGATGAGAACGAAGAGACTCATTTAAGTTTGTACTGATCCACACTCTTTTGTTCATATAAATGTCACTTATTTTTGCTATTTCAATAGCAACTTAGCTTCAAGGAGCAGGAACACGAGCTGGTGAGTTATGGTTCGTAGTATACCAGCAGATGTTTGTTGTTTGAGGGAGGGGGGCGGGAGGGGAATCAATGGGTTTTCTTTTCTTTTTTCTTTCTTTTTCTTTTCTTTCTTTTTTCTCTTTTCGTTTCTTTTTTTTTTTTCCTCTTTTTTTCTTTTCTTTCTCTTTTTCTCAGCATATGTTGTTCGGAGTCAAGGTGCTCATGCGTTGTGTTGTAACAGATTCACTATATTTGCCTTATTCATTTACAACTACTTTCTGATAACATGTCCAACTTTAATAAATGTGATGTAAATTTTATAACATGGAACGTTAAAGGCATGAACAATGTCATTAAAAGAAACAAGATTTTTTCTCACTTGCGACAATTAAGCGCAGACATTGTTTTTCTACAAGAAACCCATATTCTTAACTCAGATGTAATTAAACTTAGGCGGAGTTGGGGGGGACAGGTATTCCATTCGTGCTTTAATGCAAAAGGCAGAGGCACTGCTATTCTTATTAAGAAGAGCATTTCTTTCACCAGTGAAAAGGTTATTAGTGACTCCTCTGGTCGCTACGTTTTCGTCACAGGGCGCTTACTCGACAGACAAGTTATCCTTGTTAACATTTATGCCCCAAACTTTGATGATAGCAATTTTTTCAGCAAAGTCTTCACATCTATCCCACCTGCTGATGATTATGCTTTAATTATAGGTGGGGACTTTAACTGCGTTCTGAACACAGCACTGGATAGATCCTCCTCTAGAGTCATACAGCCTTCTAAGGCAGCTATAAACATTAAACATTTCTGTGACCAATTTGCATTATTAGACCCCTGGAGATTTCTTTTCCCTTCCTCCAGAACATTCTCCTTTTTCTCTCCTGTTCATCACTCGTATAGTCGCATTGATTTTTTCTTAGTGGATAAGAGTATCATGCCCCTTGTCTCATCTAGTAGGTATCATAGCATTGTTATATCTGATCATGCTCCTTCCTCTTTTGTGCTTAGTTTACCAACTCAGCATTCTTCTTTTAAACCCTGGAGACTAAATACTTTGCTTTTGGCAGATGAAGAATTCATTATTTTTCTAACTAAAGAGATAAATATGTATTTGGAGCTAAATGACAGGCATGATATATCTAGATCTGTATTATGGGAGGCATTGAAAGCGTATTTGCGGGGCAAAATAATCTCTTTCTCCTCTTATGCTAAAAAGCAAGAACTCTCTAAACTCAGAAATATTTCAGAAGCTATTAACAGGTTAGATGAACAGTACGCCATCTCTCCCTGCCCTCGCTTATACAAAGAAAGAATAAGTCTTCAGTCCGAGTATAACTTGCTGTCAACTGCACATGAAGAGAAGAGGTTGTTAAAAATGCGGCATACATTTTATGAATTCGGGGACAAAGCCAGTAAATTATTGGCTTTTCAGTCTCGTCAATTAAATAATTCTAAAATGATAACTCATATTAAGGCCCCATCTGGATCCATGGTACATAATCTGAAGGATATTAATGACAGTTTTGTTCATTTTTATTCTGCCCTATACACTTCAGAGTACCCAAATGATTCTGCAATTTTAGATTCCTTCTTTAAAGAAATAGATTTACCAACTATTAATTCTGACCTTAACTCTGACCTAGGCAGAC